AGAAAGTGCTAGAGTTAGAGGGTCAAATAAAGGTGGAACAGGTGTGTTTTTAGTTGTTTCTTGAAGATGGTTAAGGACTCAGCTGCTGGGATTGATTTGGGCAGGTCATTCCACCAGGAGGGAACATTTAATTTAAAAGTCTGTGAAAGTGATTTTGTGCCTCTTCGGGATGGCACTATAATGCGCTGTTCACTTGCAGAACGCAAGCTTCTAGAGGGCACATAAGTCTGAAGTAATGAATTTAGGTAAAGGGGTGCAGAGCCAGTGGTGGTTTTGTAGCCAAACATTAATGCCTTGAATTTTATGCGAGCAGCTACTGGTAGCCAGTGCAAATTGTTGAACAGAGGTGTGACGTGCATTCTTTTCGGCTCATTAAAAATGAATCATAGAGGTAAACTACTTTTTCCATCAGCGACCTTGATTGTACACACATTTATTAAATTATATGATAATGTAAAATGCCTGTCGATATTTATGATGTGCGGGACTGTGACGAGTGGGGTGGGGCCGAGAGCTGTGGGAGCGGAGTGAGGCCGGTGGAGTAAATGATAATGAGCGACACCTGCCTCGCTCTGCTCCCACGGCTCTCGGCCCCGCCCCACTCATCACAGGGACCAATTAAATGTTGTCTTCATAACCCTTTTAATAAAAGTAACAACCTTGTTTTCGCCTGCAAACTGTTAAGTTTTCCACAGACTCCATATTCAACAGCTTGTTTCCTGTAAGTGTGTGGGTGCCAGTTTTTTGGCATATTGCAGGCTTTTTGTGACCTGATGGGAAGTGTAAAAGTGGCTCAGATAAAGTTTTCTTCACGGCTAACTGCAGAAAACATTTTATTTGCATGAGCCTGTTGAAAATGACTGGTATTGTTAGCCTAGCTGCTCCTGACCGATTACTCCTGTGCCCCTCTCCGCAGTCGATGAAGATGGGATGGACTGCATGGACAACGAGCGACGGCCACACTTCCCCCAGTTCTCCTACTCTGCCAGTGGGAGAGAGTGAGCGCCACGCAGCCGACACTGCCTCGTCCTCATCAAGGTTCCCACTGGAACAAATTTTGGTCAGCCCCGGCCCTTTTGACCCTCCATCGTCCATCTTGGTTCTTTCATTTGTTTAGCTAGACCAAGGGAAACTTCTGATTTAGGGTGACGGGAATTTGCACGTCGGGTCGAACCGAGGTCCAGCCCGCTCAAACATCTTTACAGCTCCAGCCCAAAGGTTGGGTCATGATGGGAGAACTTTTGCTGTTTGTTAGGAGTTTTGTCTTTATTGTGTTTCTCTCTTTGATTTGAGACGTTGCTCCACATTCCTGATTCATTGGGAACTAGTATCAAGGTGTTTGACATCCATTTAGTTCAGAAAAATACATACAACTGCATGGCTAGAGATTCACATGGGTTTTGCAATTCCAGGTACATGTGATATAACTACTCAAAACCGCTCCAGTCTCAGCTGCTTCTGTTGTTACTGTTTTTAAGGTTCACCTTCTGTTATATAAAGTCAAAACTGCCATAAATGGTTTACTCAGGCTTCACAGAGGACATCTGTGTTCAGGACTAGCTTTACCCCTCACTGTTCCGTAACTCAGTATTCCTCCGTACAAAGCCCTGTGGACCTGAGCTATGCAGCGCTAAACCCTCACTAAAACTGCCCGTTAGAAATGCTCACTCAAATGTATTCACCGAAGGCTTTATTTCTTACATATCATCCCCTAAAAGCATTGTCCCAGTTTTTGATGGAAAAAATGGCACGTTTGACTGATGTGGAATGTTTTATGCACCGATAAACAGCTGTGACGTACAGTTGATGATCAGACTGAATTCCCCCAAAGCCCAAACTGTTTTAAGAACAGTTGTGAGAAAGCCTTTCAACTCAATGCTCAATAGTGCAATCAGTGTAACAACGACAACAACAAAGCCAGCATTAATGGAAAGAACGACAGGAAGCACTATTTTTTGTTTTATAAGAAAATAAGTAATTAAAAAAGAAAATGTATTTAAGCAAAGTGAATTTATTTTTGTCTTTTTGTTTGTCCTTGCGTTTATTAAGAGTGCTTTCTGAGTCTCCTTTTTTGAATGAAATAAATGCACCTAAAAAGGCTTATGAATGTAGATGGGTCACTGCAAAGGCCTTCATTTGTTTTTTTTATTTAGTTTTCCCTGAACCGTTTTCTCTTCACACCAGTGTAGTGTTGTTCTCTGTTTTATTTCCCCACAGGAGTTTGACTATCCTCTTGAACATTGTGAGCAGTCTGAGTGATGTTGAAATGTGTTGCTCGTCTTTCCACCAATGAAAGGGCTGTAAAAGACCATACTGATTCCTTCAGATGGGTTACTGTATGTTGAAGTCTGTAACAGAGCAGGACACGCACTCCATTGTGCTTTGCTTGACCTTTTAATGAGCATTTAAACATGACACTGCACATTCTCGTTGTTTCAAGGCAGGACTGTGAACAAGGAATCATTTTGCATGAATGCAGATATTGATAAGTCAGATGCTATTTTCAAACAGTTTTGAGTGCTAATGTGTTTCGCTACATCTAATATCATGTTCACTTTCCTTCCCGAAATACAGTAGTCCACAAATCAAATCCATCCATCACAGACTCGTACGCCAATCAGATATTAGCATAAAAATCCTTGTATATATGATTTATGAGCATAAAATGTTTCTGGTTGCAGACTGATGATTTACTTGGATGAAGCTTGTTAAGATAGTTGAGAAAACCTGGTGAGTGATGAATGAGTTGAGATGGACCGTGTTCTTTAAATGGGATCAGAGAGAAATATCTGGATTATTGAGTAATAATTTGATATATGCAGTACATTTCCTGATAGTGTTTGGCAATAAAACCTGCTGTCTGTGTGGGGTTTGTTTTGTGTGCGTGTAAAGATGGCTCTTGTGCATGTTGCTGTTGCGTTTAGTGTGTCAGTTTAATCTGGGCAGGAATGGCAAAATCTTTAATTTCTATCCGATTTGGCACTTTTTGGGGAAATTTGGCCAAGTGCAGCCCAGGTATGAGGTTGGGGGTGAGAATATTCATATTGAAGTGGGACATTAGTGAAGAGGGAAGTGATACACGAGGAAGGAGTGAGTTTGGGTGGTGTGTATATGAAATGTGATGTAGAACAAGGTTTGTTAGAGTGGGGCGTCTGAACTGAGGTTTCTTGCATGTTTGTTAAGGACTGGCATGGATTTGATGACGACTGGTTAAGGATGATTCAGAAAGTTTCTGTTCAAATCCCTCACGCCAAACTGAGCTTTCCGCCAGAATGCCTGCGTTGATTGTGAGCATTGTGAATTATCCAGTGGTGTAATGTGAGATGCTGTAGCATGGTACTGTTGCTCTATTGCCTACTGATTACTGATTTCAGTCGAGCTTGAGGATGTTCTTGCATTCAAACTGTGATGTCCAACCCAATAATGTTTTCTGACCGCACAGCGGTGGTACTGTGGGAAAATTCGCTGTTTGTGTCAGTCTTCCAACTTACACGTTTGTCTTTTTCCTCATTCCTTTTTCTTGTTTTATTTATTTATTGTTTTTGAGAGGAAGAAAAAAAAAAAGTTAAAGAACTACCCGGTTTAATTTAATGGGCTTTTTAGACTGCTGACCATTTAGTTTTTTTGGTGTTCAATTCTGTTTGTTTTGTTACTTTTATTTATCAGTGAATAACAAATATTTTTCAACTATTTGTGTCTTGTTTTACATTTTCTGGTTAGGTAACATCCATTTTGAAGCACTCATTTTGTATTTTTTGCTCCTTTGTTTTTGCTTTTTCACTTCAGATTTGTGATCGTACAGATTGTACTCAGTAGGATTATTCAGTCATACTGTGATGCTGTTGGACCATTCCATTAACTTTAATATGCACTTGTGAGGGACCAAAGGGTTTTCCTCAAGACATGGAGAGGCAGAGAATGGTGATGTTCAGTGGAGCGGTATCTTGCATGTGAAAGATGTTTGTTGGTAATACATCATTTAAACAGCGGAAGGACCTTTGGCTTTGGCCAAATCAATCATACACTTTTGTAATTCCATATTTTAACACTTGGCTTTGTATCTGCCTGTAGTAGCACTGTCATACCCATTGCTCTTTTTATATAGCTCAGCATAAGAAAAAAAAAGGTCCCTGCTTTGGGAAAAACAAAACAAACAAAAAAAGAATAAAGGAAAATAAAACGAGAGGAAAAAAGAAAATACTTGAAAGCACAGATTGGCCCCTCATGGACCTCATGCTACATTACTTTCCTGAGTGATTGTGCTCTGTAATATGTAACGGTGTGGATGTGGATAGACCTGAAATGCTGCCAGGAGACACAGACAGACTAACATTTCCCAAGATTCCCAAATGCTCTAGTGTTGTAGAAACGTTCACCACTTCAAGAGTTTCAGAGGACAATAAAGACACACGTAAGCCCAACCTGAAGTCATTATTCCCTGAATACTGAACTAGTGTGAGGAAGGGACCCATGGAGACATGGGCGGCACGGGCTTCATCCCTCCTAAGCGCACATCTGTGTGCACACTGCTGCTACTGTTTGTACTGTCTACAACAGACTTTCTCTATATTGCGCTCCTGGTAGTGTATTATGAATGAGCATGAATTGTAAAGTATTTATTTAAAAACAAAAAAGACAAAAAGAAAAAAAAAACATTTTATGTCCATGTAGCGTTAGAGTTTGTGACATTTCTTGACCTTGCTAGCTCTGTCATTAGATCCATGTTAAGAACTAGTCATGTGGTTAAGAATTTTACATGGAAGGGATTAACAGAAAAATATATATAAAAAGAACTGTATTACCATCCATCATAGAAAAAAAAAAAAAAGTTTATTTCCTTGAATACAGTATAGGGCCCACGCAGATGTGGAAAGCTTATCTGCAAGAAACTGTTTTTGTACACAGTACATCCTAGTATTTTTACACGTAAATGTATATGATAGGGATGCACATTATTTTCCTTCTTACAGACTGCTTAAATAAAGCACTACGTCAATCTGCTGTGGCTTGAGTCGTGTCTCTTTGACTTGCTCCAGACAAAACATTTATGATTAATCATAGCACACCTCAGAATCTATATAATAAAATTATAATTGTAAATAATTCTCATTTTATATTTTATATGATTTACTCATTTATTTTTTTTGTGTTTTTTTATGACTGATATATATACCGTTCAAAAGTTTGGGATCAGAACGATTTTTTGTTTTTTAAAGGAGTTTCTTATGCTCATCAAAGCTTATTTGATCAAAAATACAGGGAAAAAATGTAATATTGTGTGAAATATTATTATGATGTAAAATAACGTTTTTCTATTTTAATATACATTAAAATCTAATTAATTCATGTGATGCAAAGCTGAATTTTCTGCATCATTACTCCAGTCTTCAGTGTCACATGATCCTTCAGAAATCATTCTAATATGCTGATTTATTATCAGTGCTGGAAACCGTTGTGCTGCTTAATATTTTTTGGAACCTGTGATACTTTTTTTCAGAATAAAAAGTTAAAAAGCAGAGCATTTATTTAAAATAGAATATTTTCTAACAATATACACTACAGTTCAAAAGTCTGGGGTCAGTAAATTTTTGTTTCTTTTTTTGAAAGAAATTAAAACTTTTATTCAGCAAGGATGTGTTAAATCGTTAAGAAGTGATGATAAAGATTTATATTGTTAGAAAAGATTTATATTTTGAATAAATGCTGTTCTTTTTAACTTTTTATTCATCAAAGAATCCTGAAAAAAAGTATCACAGCTTCCAAAA